AAAAAGAGGTTAGGGTTTTATTGATTCTTCATAATGTAATTGAATGAATAAAATCTAACTACAAAGAGACTATATATAATCTAAAATAAGGAAAACTTAAAAAACTATTCTACCCTTAATAAAAACAAAATAATCATATATTTTTTAACACGAAGAATACTTGTTATACACAAAATTCATTGCAAGTTCTTGCTAAAGATTTACCAAACCACAGGCTCAATCTTAACACTACGAAAATAAAATAGAGTTTGATTTGATATTAAGCCCCGTTTGATTTATTTAGTTAAAAGAGTTGATAAAAATCTAATTTATCCATATCAGCAGTAACGGCAAAAAATTGTCTTTATTTTGCCAGATTTTGAGCCAAAGGCCTTGTTCTTGGCTCCTGAAACAGAGCTTGATCAGAACCCAACATGCCCAATTTAGTCACTAAATTCCCTTAATTTGCATTGTCAAAAGCAAAAGGGGCTGTGACAATAAATATCACAATTCACTCAAAATTGTGGGCATGACATTTTGAGGGCTTTTAGGAGTCTCGGGTCAATGTTTGAATCGGGTTGCTTGGTGCCTCTGTAGTTTGTATAGGTGACTAAGAAAATGTTTTGGTGGCAAAACCAATGGTGTGTGCACATAAGAGGACGACTAAGCCCCTGTTTGTTGTTAAAAAAACATTTTGAAATAGTAGATTGACAGGATGTTCGGCCGGAAATCCTACTCTCCCTTTGAGCATCTACGAAGTAGATTATGCTCGAATTCACTAAGAACCACAAAGAACAATACAGAATGTATGAAGAAATCGCTTAAATTTTCTTTTGCCTCTCACACATAAAACCCTCCTCACAACTTCTAAATTGTACACCAAATACAATCTAACAATACCACTAAGATATTACAGAGATCAAAACCAGAAGATCACGGAGAAGATGAAGAGATAAAATCACTCAGAGAGAAGACGAAGAAAACCCTAGAATATACACCACTACAGTACAATCGAAAAGTCGAGAAGGGAGTTATAAAAACCACCCTTAAAGCATTTCATCCAACGGTCCTGAGCATGTCACATGTAAGGCCAAGATCAATCAATCCATTTAAAAGGCAAGCAACCCGGTATCCCAATAACACAGCAAAGCCAAATGACAAAATGAAGAGGCCCAATACCAGAATAGAGAGGTAGCCCACAACAGTGTTAATTGGTAGGATGGAAAACATCTGCAATAGTAATTATATTAATGTATGTGTGAGGGTACATACGGTATAATATGTTGGGTAAGCGTAAGCTATGGGGACGACCATAAAAGAATATTTTTTCTTATCTTGTAATTATGAATCTAGCATTTTCCAATCTTCAGTTGGTTGAATGCCAGTTCAAATGGAAACCTTCTATTTCTTCCAATGCCTTGTGTATATGTAGTTTTTCTTTCACCGTATCTTGCATGCTGTTAATTTGGAGCTTTCTCTGGAGAGGTAACAAAATCAGTCTACTTACTGTATTTTCATCTGCAGGGGGAAGCGTCCTGTTGATGCTCTTAATGGTGCTGGCAATAGTACTTCGAAAAAGGGACGTGGTTCTGGCAATATGCAAAACCAATATGCTAACAGGGCATTTGAAAGCCTATCTCATGGAGGGAGAAGTGGCTCAAGGGGCAGCGGCAGGAGCAGGGGTCGTGGTGGTCGGTGGAGGTGGAGGTGGGAGGGGAAGGAGCTACAAATAAGTTTCGATTCAGACATGTAGCATAAAGATTCGCACTTAAAAGAGTTATAAACTAGAAAATAGAACACATTTCGAAATTGAACGTATTAATGTACTTCGTGTATCCGGACCAGTTTTTCTTGAGACTAAGAGATGAGTTAATTATTTTTTTACTTCAGTTTATGGCATGGATTAATGATAATTGTGTTTACAGACCTGGAATTCTTTGCAATGATGATTTTGATGGTGCTACTCATTTTACAGACAACTTTTTTGTCTAATTTTATTAAGGGTCTGTTTGACAAATGTTTGGATAAAAGTTTTAGCAAGTTTTTATAAAAGTTGATAAAAATCGGTCGTAGTCATCGATGCCATAAATTCCTAAGTTCACGCACAAGAGCAAATAGGCAGGACTGCTGGAAATGACTATGAAAGCCATAAAGGCATTGACAAGTCCATGCCCTATGCCTAGGATCTATCTCCCTCCCTTCTTGACCTTGAAACTCGTTTTAAATATATGCACTTTCCTTCCTCTAAAAAGACTGTGCGGGGGAATTCACCTTTCAAGGGTGCAAGAAAGGGCCGGAGACTGCCTTGGCAGCGCCGTACGTGACATTCATTCTTATTCTTATTTCTTTGTATTAGTGATCTGGAGCAGCATGCCAGTGTGCCGAAAGCCGGTGCTTGTCGGGCAAGATTCCACCTACTTTGTGAGTTTTATGAAATGTATGATCAAAATTGAAGTTTTAGCAAAATTTTATTAAAAACTATCAAGTATGTAATATATATCGTACCAAACATATTATGGGATGGTGATGAATTCTTGGAACTCAAAGATTTCAAGGTTTCTTTAGGTGGCAACGTTAAAAGCATGTAGAAGTTTCTCTTTAGCGTAAGAATTTTAATGCAAAGTGAAAATCGTGGATCCGGGATAAAACGCATAACGTCCAGATTTTATTCTTTGTTTATATGGACTAAGTGACGAAGGAATTTATTCTCCAAAGACGAGAAATCAAGTTAAGAAAAAATTCCAATCTTCTGTGAGGTCTCGTCTATTGCCATATCGAATTTCTTCCATGCTTGCCATTTAACACAGCTATGTTAGAAATTTATTTATTCATAACAGAGAATTGATAAACCTGATTCATAACGTGTTTTTATTTATAACAGTAGTTTTGTTTTGTTTGCAGATAATGTTGGGGAGAAGTTGACATCTTAGCTTAAGCAAAATGGAAGTTCTAAATCAGTGGACATGGACTTTTAGCAAATTAGTATTTTGAGTGATCTTGGGAAATTTGCTGTATTGACCTTCCTCTCTGGACCTCTTATGACTAGCATTCAACAAATTTATAATCAATCGCAATGTGAGGGTTCGATTCATGACTCTTGTAAGGTATGGAATTTGACTTTTTGTGGACACCAGTATGACAGCTCTTGTACTCTGGCCTGATGAGACACATCCTACGATTTATCTTCTTCACAATGCTCTAGGGGCGGGGCTCAACCTTTTATAATTGACCGCATAAATTTTCTATGTTATAAAATATCCCAAAATTGAAACGTGAATCCCAACAAGCGAAAATAAAATAGGTAAAATCAAGTTCACAAGACAGAAGGTAGATGTTAAACAGTGTTCACATGAAGACATCAAATCGTTACTATTCGTCTGCAGTGATTTTGTTTTTTCCTTCAATTATTCGTGGGTTTGTTATATTAAACTGGACAATATTCATCAAAATTAAGAAAACAAAAGATGTTGAATCTTATCTTTATCCTGTAATTCTTGTGCGACAAACATGCTCGATTTCTATCATTTTCCGTGCTCAATTATTAGCAGTATTTATGCTGGCACCCTCATGAACCTACACATTGACGGTATGTTTGGTACACAATATTAGACAGAACTGCATAGTTTGATGCAAAAGATTTGAACTTTTTATTTCCTCGATAAACTGTGACTGCTTTTGCATTTAGTACTGTTAGAAGCAGTCTGTAGGCTTCTGATTCTGGCCTGCATTAGAGGGCCCAAGATCGCACGTTCTTGTACTGTACCTACACAGAACTAACTAAAGCCGCTCCACTCGCTGAAAGGGGTAATAAAGAATCTACTGAAAACTGGATTCGTTTCAAGTGGAATTTTAGCACAGAATTATCTATTTTACAAGACTTGGAGAGAAAATGCAAGAGGGTTTTCATCAGGCATCTTCAAAACTGAAAAGAAGGAAAAGAGAGGTGATAGACGTCCATGGAGGACGAGTTGTTCGACCCACTGGACGAAAGGATAGGCACAGCAAGGTATGCACCACAAGGGGACCTAAAGACAGACGTGTTAGGCTGTCACCAAATACTGCAATTCAATTCTATGATGTGCAAGATAGGCTTGGCTATGATCGTCCGAGTAAGGCCCTCGATTGGCTGATGAAGAAGGCCAAATCTGCCATTGATGCACTTGATCAATCAGATAATCACAATGCTGCAAATATTATGCAGTCAGTTGATCGCCAAGCAGAGGAAGGATTTCGAGATCATAGCCAAAGGGATACATTTTGTCACCAGATGCATCCTGATGGCAGTTTTTCGACGTCTGAATCTGGAATTCAGTGCGAAAAAGTTTGGAAGGATAATCCCATTTATCATAACAACCTGAAAAGCAAAACTCAAGGCCAAAGCCTTCATTGTTCTAGCCAATATCTCCCGGATGACTCGATTACTATCTCTGGTTACGGAGAAGGCCTATTCTCCATGACAACTCCTTCACATTTGGATACAGATTTGGAAATGGCTGCAATCCCAAGTCTGTTCACTTGGTATCATGATAATGGCCAAGATCAATTCTTTTCTCCAAGGGAACCCCTTCAGTCCAGTATTTGTCCTCCCATGAATCATGGTCTGTCGAGCACTCGATTTTCAAGCATTGGCCTTTCTGGCGAAGAAATACTAAAAATTACTACTGCACCAAGTAAAATAGAGGAAATGGAGAGGAGTAATTCAATTTCCATGAAGCCATCTTGTGGTACGCCATTTTTGCATTTTGAAGACTTCCTGGCTAATAGTCCTCTTTCTCAGTACGTTTTGATAAATCATCTCACCTATTAGATTAATTACCGCTATTTATTTAAATTTAGTAATCAACATATCTCTTCATGTGCAGACCAAACTCATTTTTTATCAAAAGACTGACAAATGCAAAATTGTTTGACAGCGATGATTGAACTCTGGCGCCTGGAAAAATTACAAGAAATAAGAATGGAAAGTTGAGTAACCAGTGTGATTTCGAGCTTGCTGAGAGTATGATTTTCTTTGTGATGTATATCGTAGAGATAATCTCCACTGAATTTGTATGTTAAAGTAATTGCGAGTTTTCTTTTAAATTGTCGTAGTATTTTGTATTACTTTTTTTTTTTTTTTTCCAAAAAAAGGGATAAAATGATATCACACGTCATTTACCTACTAATACTCTGCTCTTACTACTTAAGCTAGACCTTGACCTTGGAATATATGTAATATATTCATATGAGTTGCTTGAGAGACCCCAAAATACAGCCAAATATGCCCAGTGAGTGATAATAGAGAAATGGCCATAGACATGAAGGGAGAATGGATTCTCGTTCATTCTTTATCCCATCAATCATGAAGTGAACTTTTCATGCATGTGGCACCTTCAAAGAAATAAAGCCAATAGAATATAATCTTCTACTAGTCTGGCAAGATTAAATATTTATTTCACTCAAGATTGGATCTCTAGTAGGTGTTATGTTCATGGCTTGTGTATTCACATTTGGCAATTAACGTATCTGAAATTGATCTCCTGCCCACCGATAAAAACTCTCCATTACACTTGTGACGAGAATTTAAGAACTTCTCATTACAGACATGACAAGAAAAACTTGTCATTTTCTCGTCACGTCTGCAATGGAAAGTTTTTATCATTCCACTGAGGACAAGAGATCAGGGCTCTGGGTAGATTTACTTGCGTTTGTTCTGTTGTTCACATGTCCTTCATGGAATAAATTGTTAATGCAAAAATAAGAATATTAATATTAAAGTCATTACAATGAGGAGGGATATTAACGACCGACAAATTAAAAAAATATTTTTTTCTCAAAATAAAAAAATATTTGAAGACATATTTTTAAAATAAAATAATAATTTAGTAAGGCATAAAATGGAAATACGAATAATTAGTAGACTATAACAGCAATTTCTCAAGGATGTCAAAATAAATTCAAAATCTTTTAAATATTTTCTAGTGGCTGGTGCACTTAATGATTATGATTGTAGATTAATAATGTTTTGGTATGAATAAAAGATGCAAAAAAATCATTTCGTTTGGTCACAATTACAATTTAAATTATAATTGAGAATAAAAGTGAGATTAACCCGAATTTGAGATAAACTAGAGATGTCTCGGCGGGGTTCGAACCCGCGACCTTAGGCTTATGAGACCAAAATTCCAGCAGTTTCTCGCTTTAAAGGCTGAAATGAAATTTTGTGCCCCTCCTAAAAACGTGAGTTTTTCTTTTCTTTTCTTTTGGAAAGAAACGCACTGCGATTTAAGGTTTACATATTGTTTTTGTTGTTTTTTGTAAACCATTACGTAGCAAAAATTTGGTAAAGCCAGTTGGTAAATTCTGTCGAAGAAACTGAAGAAATATTTCGACTAAAATTGGTTGCACGTTGTTGTAAAAGAGAGATATTTGAAGGATTTGCTAATGTTGAAGAATATTATGACGCAATCATGATTTGAAAGATTTCCATAACCTCATCCTTAATAAGACAACCTTGATGTAATGTGACTATATATGTTTCATTGTAAGCTCCAAACATAAGTGAATAATCTACAAACTTCTCTTTCTCTTGTGGATGGAGGTTGTCACACTGACTTCGAACCACATAAATCTATGTGTTCTTTTTAGTTTTATTGAATTCTTCACACGTATTGCTTTAGTGCAGAATATAAGCATGTACTTTCTTGTTCATGTCTAGTCCAAGGTAGAGCAATAGACTAGACACATCCAATGCTAACTTTATAAAAGAGGGATTTCACAACCATGCATCCCCCTTGTATAGTTTCTTCCCTACACACTCTTTCCTACTCTTTGAAATCTATAGATGAAGATGGCAAAGCAAAAGACTTAAAAAATGCTGGCTAGTGAAATGATCAACTTACCGATTTTGTCAGGCTATATAACTTGACACGATATTAGCAGACTACACTGATGCAAATTCCCCAATGCTATTTGGACTTCGTGGCATTAGAGATTTCAGAAACAAATTAGCAGTGCCATTCAACCATATCTTCAAGAGGCACAACAGTTATTTCAGCTATTTCTGTTTGTAACTTTTTTCGAGGTAAAAAAGAAATGCTTTACTCTTGGTCTCGTGTCCGATATCACTTTCCCATATCAGATACGGCAAAAGTACACCCCAGTAAGAAACTTGAAACTAACTTCTAAAGGCACATTAATGGTACAAAAAGATTTCTTGTTGATGATATAACGTGTTCGATTGAGAAACTTTTCAGGAGGAGCTCAGATGAAATGACTTCTCGAGAAGAACACAAGCAAGTACAAACGTTAGTAGTTTACAATCTACAACATGAAGCTGTATCACATGTTTGTTGACATAAACTATTTGTTACAATATGTATGACCTTTTTGTTCAACATAAAATCAAGCTTCATCAATTATTAGCCCATGGCAAACATAGACTGAGCTTTCTGTATGTTTTGCAGTCACTTGAGAACTGAACACTAAAAGCCAAAAAACTGAACAGTATTAGCCGTTCTACAAGAAAGAGAGAGAGAGAGAGGACCATGTACCTCCCTCAGGCAAAAACCTCGTAGAATTTTTCAATCACGAGTAAGCCCGAGTCAATTGATTCCAGAGGATCCTTACGAAGTCGGTGTCTCAAGCAGTTGGGGATGACGATGGAAATATCCTCTGTATTTACTTTATCTCTTCCTTTAAGGGCAGCCAAAGCTCTTGCGGCCCTATTGGTCACTATGTCTCCTCTCAATCCATCAACATTCAACTCAGCACAGACCTTTGAGATTTTAACTCTAAGGTCATGATCGATTGTAACAGCAGAGAGTGAACTCCTAGCAGAGTAAATTTGTTTCTGGAGCTTTTCTTGCTCTGCCTCGTAAGATTCCCGGAACTCTTTTGGATTTCCATCAAATCGTGCTCTTTCCTCCACGATTTTCACCCTAAGCTCTGCATCCTTCACAGTCCCAACTTGTGCATGCATTCCAAAACGATCAAGAAGTTGTGGCCTAAGTTCTCCCTCTTCTGGATTTCCAGAACCAATGAGTATGAATCTGGCAGGATGGGATATTGAGATTCCCTCCCTTTCAACAGTATTCCATCCCGAGGCAGCAGAATCTAAAAGAACATCTACTAGATGGTCATCCAAAAGATTAACTTCGTCGACATAAAGAATTCCTCTGTTAGCTTTTGCAAGAAGACCAGGCTCAAACGCCTTCACACCCTCAGTAAGGGCCTTTTCAATGTCAATTGTCCCACATACTCGATCTTCTGTGGCACCCAACGGCAAATCAACCATGTTGATTTTGGTTGACATAACAGGGAGTTCTTCACCTTTCATAAGTTTTTCTCTAACTTCCATGCCCTGTACTTCTGGGTCATCTGGATCCGAATTGAACGCATCACCAGCAACTACTTTAATTTCAGGAAGTAAATCCACCAATGAGCGAACAGCTGTGGACTTCCCTGTTCCTCTATCACCCATTATCATCACACCTCCGATCTTTGGGTCAATCACATTCAACAAAAGGCACAATTTCATCTCATCTTGTCCTACTATAGCTGCAAATGGATAAACTGGTCTCTGGGACTCCTTCGAGGCAAGCTTTTGTGCCTGAAAGTCACACTAAGACTTAAAACACCAATCTAAAAATCTTACACTGAAAGTGAAAAGGTTTCCCTCGTACAACTTAAACACCAAATATAAGCAAAGTCTATGTTAGGCAGCATGGGATTCAGCCATTGAAATGGGAATTGGAACTTGCATTTCGATTTTGAATAGATATTTCATTACCTAACTCCAATTCTGAGGTTCCAAATTCATTCCACCAAATGAAATTTAACAATTACATGAAACAGTACTTAAAGCCAAGAAACTGTCTATCTACAAGTATCTAAATAACACAAATGCTAAAAAATTTCTGTGAACATTTGAATTCCATTCCAATTATACATCTCTACAAGGCCAGGCTTCTCCATTTCAAGCAATTTTACTATCCCTGCAATTAAGTAGAGCTAGTGGTCCTAGCTAATTCTAAATGCATTACAATTTAATTATAAAATGCACAGACTTATCAAGGGGTACCAAGCTCAAGAAAATTAGTACCTGTTCTTCAGCAGGGTTAATTTCAGTGGCAACATTGGAAACTAAAACGTGGAATTTAGACCTCTCTTTCTTGAATTCAGTTCCTCCAACGGAATTCCTTCCCAGACTAATCCCTGCAGAAATTAACAGTAAGCTATAAACTTTGAAGCCCTCATCCCAAAAGCATAAGCCAATATATTAAATCTCATCAATTCCCCATTAAAAATCAAGAAAATATTAACATTTGTCAAAAAATAAAAAAAAAACCCTGTATTGAAACCTCTGTGTCATGTTACTACCAAATTGCGAAAATATAAGCTCCAAATAAAATTCCAAGAAATCAAGAATGGGTACGTACCCGGAGATGGACAGAGCGAGAAAGATGAAGACTTGGAGTAGTGAGACTGAGAAGAGAAGGGTTTAGAAGCGAAGAATCTTACTGTGGAGGAAGTTCCCAATAGTCCAGCCATGTTTGATAAGAGTATGTGGTTGTGTTAAAGTTTATGCGTTTTCTTGAGGTTTAGAACGTGGGACTTGTATGTTGGTTACTACTGGGTTGTTGTGTGCTGGGTCAGGATAAGAGGATAGATTTCCATGACCCATTTCTCTTTCGAAAGTTTTACGATTTGTTTTTCCTCTGCATTATTCAATGGTGCGTTACTGTGGACTTCTGGTTTGCTTGGATTTTATTGGTTGACGGTCCTAGTTACAATTTTCTAATGGATTTTTTTTTTTGGTTGTTGACGTGGCAACCCATAGCCGCTATCTGCCGCGGAGTCCCGATCACAACGAAGCGACAAGGCCCAACCACTGTAAGTGCGCACTAGGTAAACTCCGTTCCATATACAGTAGCCCGCAAACCACAAAGTAGAGGTAAACCGCACTAGGCAAGCCCTGTGTGACGGGCTCGACCGAAAAAGTGTTGGTAGGGGATTCGAATTCGTGACATTTGGTCTCAGTGTTCACCTGCTCCACCAACTCAACCACCCCCGAAAGGGTATTCTTTTTCTTTTTTCTTTCTTTGACTTTTGGTAGTCATAATGTAGCCCCTGTTTGCTGTAGCTAAAAAATAGATTATTAGTAGATTTTGATAAATAATGATAAAATATGTAATTAAATTAATTGTTAATTTTGAATTAAATTTTTATGAAGATTTGAATTCATAGAATCCAAGAAAAACGAAAAGGTCGTTGAACTTTCATCATACTTGCAATTAGATCTTTAGGGGCCGTTCTTTTTGTTGTTTTCGGACCGTTTTCTATTTTTAATTTTTCAAAACAGTGAAAATGCATTCTCTTTCCCATTTTCGACGATAAATTTTTTGAAAAAAAAAAAATTCAACTGAAAACTCAAAACGTCAGACGTTTTGAGCGTTTCCTTCATAAAACATGAAAACACGGGAAACGACTCTTTCTCAATTTCTCCCAAAATTCTTCTTCTACTGATCCGCCTCATCCTTCCATCAATAACAGCCACCACCCGCCACCTAAGCCGTCGGACCCCCGCACCACTCGCACCCCTCACCTCCCTCTACAACCTCCGCTATCGCTTGCTCACCAGACCGCCGGAAACAGCTCCAATTCTAATCCAAAATCGCGAGCGCAGTCACGATTTTTCGCCAATTGCTTCCACATCCGGCAACTATTTAGATCGTGGAGCACCACCACAACATTTTTCTCAACCAAACGCATCTAGTTCTACCATATGTCAGTCTCAATTTCGTCCAAAATCGACTGAGCTTGTTGGAGCAGTCCGTGAAACCTGTTTGTTTGTTTGAGCATTTGAGATCTTTATGGTTAGTTTTGAAAGATATGGTTAAGTTATGTCCGACTAGTTTGGAATTTGAAATTTGTTTGGTTTTTCTTCAAATTGTTATGAAATTTATTTGGTTTTGCATCTAGTTGATGATATGGATTTGGTTTTGTTTCCAAATTTTGAATTCTTGGTTCAGTTAATCTTGAATAAGGAATTTTGTATTTTTGTTCTATTCAATCTGGAATATGAAATTTGGAATATGCATCCAGTTTGTCTGGATATAGGACTTCCCATTGTTTTCAGGGTGAATGTAATCCCCTTTTTCATCAATTGGTGGGTCCTGGGCTAGAAATGGACAGTCTGGTTTCACCGGTCGGACAGCAATTAGTGGAAAGCGGGGTTCTATGTTCCAATTCAAGTTCTCCGAGGGGAAGATCAAATGGGGATTTTGGAAAGACCTTAAAGAAGAAGAGGCTATTTGGTGAATTCAAAACGGGTGGTGGCAGAGGGGTAAATGGGAAACGAGATTTCGAGAAGAAGCTCAATTAACCCTGTAATATAAGCTGTTGACGTTGAAAATTGTATAAACGAAATTCAAGCCAACTTCAATGAGGAATACGAATTTGATTAAGTGTCGATGTGAATTTACAAGCGATTCAACTATCATTTCTATGTTTATAGGAGATATTTGAAATATGAATAATGTAAGAAGATTTTGTAATGTGCAAAGTCTCTCTCCTTTTCTTCACCTCTATTTTTCTCTTTTATAGGAGAAAAGGTACATGCTTTATTAATTTCCAGTCTTGTCACTTGAAATCCCGAGCTGAAGAAGTGCACATGTTGGGATGATTCAATTGGCCACCGAGCTTGATTTGGCAGTCATGGTGAGCATATCTTACGGGTGGGCTTTAGCAATTAATGAAGTAGGTCTTGGGAAATGAGTCTGACTATCTCATCAGGGCTTATGTAAGCACTGATGTAAGATTATTCCTTGTGCATCTCTCTGATTGGATGATTCAAAGATTGTGTCAGTGATTTGCAATCATTAGAATCTTCTTGAAAGACTACACAATTTTTCTAGGTACGCTGACCATCCGAGCCGACCTCACACCACCGAGCTCAATTTGTCACGTACTCATCGCATGTTTCCATCCGATCTGTCCGACCTTAAAGCTCAGCATGTCAGTTCCGCACGTCAACATAAGCGATAGAATACTGTATGTTCACTGACTTTTTTAGTTTGTATGTTTCAGTATTTCCAGTAGTAATTATATTGTAATTCAATGTTTGTGGATTATTTGTTGCCTTTGGCTGTTAGCTGTGCTGTGTGAATATGTTTTGCTTCCATTTTGATGCTCAAAAACTGGTTTTTGCCTTTTGCCTTGTGTGAATATGGTTGTGTGTCTTACCTGGCCTTTCAACTCATACTAAAATGTTAACAGAGAATGGATGACATTGGTTTTTTATCACAGTTATTTGATAACACAAAAGTTATAGCCACTGTTTGGTATGGCCAGGGATAGGAGGGCATTAGATTTCTCACTGCATTGCTTAAGTTTAAAAAAATTGAAGAAGTTTAAGAGTATGCACAATGTTCATTTACTCATAGATGGAACTGGGATAAGAAGCTCAACAAGGACTGAATGTTCACTGACTTTATGGTGGCAGATTATGGTGGCGAAGTTAACCCTGTAATATAAGTTTAGTTTGTCTTATGCTTATAACATTGTTGTATCGAGTTTCCTTTAAGACAACATTAAAGTCTGTAATAGTATGGAGATAAGTTGATATGTGTTTATTTTGTGCGTACACTATTTCACTGGATGCTTTAAGATTGTGTTTTTAGGATAGGGTGTTCAGTTCGACTATTGTGTCAAGAGTTGACGTGCTCAATATATCATTATATGTTATTTAATACTATATTAATATTAAACTATTAAAATTTATTGAATAATCAGATTTTTTGAATAAAATTATATAAAAAAATATTCTCAAAATTTCAAAGTAAATGCTTTTTCCATTTTTATGTTTTGAGAAACATTTTTTCAGAAAGACAAAAAGAATGCATTTTCAACAATTTGTAAATAGACACTTAAAACACAAAACACAAAATGATTTCAAAACTCAAACTAAAACACAAAGAGAACAGCCCCTTAACTTTTGATTTGCTTATATCATTATATTTCAATTTACAAGCAATTAGGTCACTCCATTTACTTCTGTCAATGAGATTGTTGACGTTTCCATCAAAATTAACGACATGACAACGTGTCAATCAATTTTCCATGTCAACCCATCTAAAATTACAACAAAGGTCATTGAACTTAAACTACACTTACAACTAAGTCATTGAAATTCAATTTGATGCAATCGAACTATTGTTCATTAATTTAAGAGCAATCAGCGCATACTATTTAAAATTATTTTCCCCTTTTATAAGGTATTGATTAACATCCTAGTCTCCAAGACTCCAAGTGTAATGTCGCGTTCTTCTTTTGTAAGTTTTGTATATTAATGATGTTGCCTAATAATATATTTAATGTTAGTTTTTTTTTATTATATATCATTGTGACTAATCATATCTCGCAGTGGAATGTACCTTCACGGCCAAGACAATTGACGTGATCACAATTTTATCCTTAAAATAAATTACCTAAATTCAGAAAGAAGCTTTCATATTTGAACACTTTCCTTTATCAAATAACCCAATGTTTATTCCTTATAATTAAAAGAGCACTTCAACGCCCCAAAATTATTTCTTGGAATCCTCGATCACGTTTTGGGCCTCCCATAAGGTATTAGAATACTTAATTTATTTTACAAATTACAATGATTTTGTTGAATAATAGATATCACTACATATTTCATATAAACTAATTAAATCATGAAGAAAGTTTTGGTTTTCGTTACATTTGTGAATTTATCCATCTTTTTAAGCATATTATAAATACATATTGAAATTTCTAAATAAATGTTAATGACCTAGGACCTTAGCACGTTGATTTCATGGACGACAAAGAACATCCCTCTTTACTAGCTAAAAATTGTTAAGGATTCAAGGTAGGTAAGTAAGTAAGTAACCTCCCCTCGTTTTTTCTAGTACGTTTATATGATTAAATGTATAAATGTGTTATATTAATTGTTCTTGTGTGAACATGATGTTTGATTATTATGTTTCATGTATATTTATATATACCAATGCATTCATAAGTGTACATGAAGTTTCAAGAAATACAATGTTTCAAATGTTAATAAGTCAAGTAATATTTTAGAAATATATGTATTTCAAATGTTTTTGTTACGAGTTGTATGTCTATGCCATGAGAAAATGATGGGCATAGACAAAAACCAAAACTCAATACAAGAAATGTCCGAACAGTAAAGATGTGAACTCAACAGTGAAAAATAATACAAGTTTGAAGATCTCAATCATTTTCATCAATGATCTTTCCCTCTTTTTCACCAATGTTGCGACATATAACATCACTTTTAGTTTTGTCTGAAGAGCAAGAAATTTGCGCGTAGAGCCATAATTTGCATTAACCTGTTATTCTCCTTCTATGTGCAATTCAGTAGACTTGTTTTCTCCTTTCAGACAAACACTCTTTTTTTCTTTAGTTGGCGTGGGGTGGCGAAAGATGATGAAGTGATTTTTGTTTTTTTGTTTTGATTTTTAATTATTTATTTGGGATGTATTTGTAATTTTTGAAAAAAATTGAGACTATGCCTCTGTTTGTTGCTCATTAGTAAAAGAAAAAGAACTGTTGGAACAGTGGTCATGCCTACCATTTTTGACTATTTGTGTCTTGTTGAGATCCACCAACTTTGAAAAAAACGGTCCTATTTTTTTAATTAATGGGGAAAGAAATTGATTCTTTATTTTTTTGCTTTATTTAAATGAGAAGGTATATTTGTCATTTTACATCTTTTTATTGAGAAAATTGATGAAAATTATGATTTTTGCTACCAAAGGTGTAAAAAAAGGATGAAAATGTAAATAAATGAAATGTGGGGATGTTTTACAAAATGAACTTCAAACGTAAGACGTTTTGTACTAATAACCCATAAAATTAATGATAATACTTCAAAATTTAGAGTAGGGTGTTACACCAAGTGTTCCAACACAATTTTAAATATGTGATTAACATCCCGTTTCATAAGGTATATGATTAAAACAATTGATTAACCAAAAAAATAAAAAATAAAAATATTATCTACATCCTAATCCAACACTTTATTGCCGATTTAATCCAGTCTAGAATTGGGTGGGGAATAGTGGATTTCGTCTTTTCTTTGGTAAACTTGTTTTGGATCATAATCCGCGGCTAAATCTATCAGATAATTACAAATAAAACTTGAATGAAAATTTTATATCAGTGATTCGTTAGGTATATTATAACCGGCCGACCTGCCGACGAGTTAGCGAAATATTAGATGGGCCGGTGCTTGACACTCCTTTAAAAATTGTAACCTTTTTAGATGAAATGTTTAGATAACATATTGGAATCATCTTTAACTCAAATAAGTAGTTAGCCTCTGAGATTCAAGTTCTCAAACAAGTCATAAATTTACATAGACATTTTAACGGTAAAATTCCATCTACTTAAATATGTAAACAATAATCGACATATAAAAATTAAGATTGCTTCGAACTCTGAGGTTCTAATCAATGATTATGTGACAGCTAGTTAACAAGTCGTCTCAGGCTCGAACTCCACATCACTTACCTATTTGATCTAGTCAAAGCTATCAAATAGAGGTACTCGAAGTGACACTTTCACCTCAAACGATGTGCCTTAATGAGGCACACCATCAATGATCAAGGAGAGGTACTACGATCTATTGCAGCTCATTTTTGAAGTGATAGACCTTTAAACCCACAAAGGCATCTTCTTAACTTCGCCACTTCCAAGAGATATTGCGCCTTCTATGCGATTGATCGATGTGAACTCTCTGCAGCAGAAGTCTCTCAATCAACTCGTCGGTCTACTTTTTAGATATTAGACATAGACTATAGGTTGACCAATTTTCAGAATCATTAAATGCTCTTCGAACTTAGGATGCAGAAGTTACACCTAAGGGATGATGCGTCGTCTGTTAATATGATTCTACATATCTTTTATCTAACGATTATCGCTTCAACTCTTCTGCTATAAAAGTTTACAAGTATCATTTGAATGTAACACAATTTTACACTCTCAATGTTAATCTTGCTCCTTGTTATCATTTCCTCTCTACAACCCAATGCCCATATACATATTTGTAGCTCAAGTCTTCCATTTATCCTACATTCAGTATTCACTTCTACAGTTGACTAATTTGGTCGTTGGAGTGCTCGCGATCGCCTCCCCACCACTGGAGAAGGTCTCGTGCTTATAATGAATTGTCCAAGTGTGCAAAAGCCTTATATGTGAACGTGAGTGGAGTCGGGATATGTTGCCTCGTCATTCAGCAGAAAATCGAGGTCGACAAGTCCAAACAAGAATTTGCAAGATATTATATTAATGGCAACCATGGAATCCGATTCCATTCGTGCATCAGCATCTATTCAGAAACTCACCATTCCTTGCTGTAAAAATAGGCTTATCAAATACTTTTCTGCAGCTTTAAAAGATGAAAAATGTGACCGTTCACTAGTTCATCAGCATCTATGCAAATTTTATTTATATATGCTTAAAGTCAAATTACCAAGGTATTTTAGAACTGGACCGTAATATAATGGCCACCTCACAAATGACAAAACTCATTGGCAATTTGTTCGTTTTCAATTGCAAACGTTGCATCACTGAAAAGATAGAAAAAATATTGTGCGTTTTGAATCGATTTCCTTTCACTAAAGCATATATAACATTAATTGGATAACAAGGTTCATGCTATATAAATACGTGGATATATGCTATCTTTACATCACTTGCAGTACCACAGAAGGATAATGGCTAACTTGAAGTTCTCAATAACCCTTATTTTCTTCTTGCTAGTTTCAGCAGCAGTAATCGGAGCTCGTCCCGTCCCAGTCCGACCGATAGTTGTTGCCCGAGAAGCACTGGAGGCTCAAATAGAAAGACAGAAAATGATGTATCATACTAATCAAGAACGGCCTGAACGGGTTAGTCCCGGAGGACCGGATCCACATCACCACTTTGAACACTTCAAATTTCAAAACTCAAGAATCAAGGGTTGATGTATCATTTTTTTTTTCAACATGTAATGGTGTAAATCTTTCGAGTATTGTTGAAGACTTGAATTTGTTGGAAATCTTGTTGTTCAAAATCATAATTTGATGGATTATAACGTCTATGTATGAATGAATTTGGAATAGAAAAGAATGAATTTGAAAAAAAAATCTGACCGTTAATTTCAAATTTTGGTGGTTTTCTTGTGAAACAACATACCTTTTCAACATGGTTTAGGTGGTTTTTTTGTGAAACAACATACCTTTTCAATATGGTTTGGAACCATTTCGTGTGAGAATGATTGAACACTATAAATATTATACCTTTTTTCACTGGTTCATTTTGAAGAATCACTTGAAACTTTTGGTGTTCTTCATTTCAGACTTGAATCCTACAAACTATTTGTCATTATAATTCTCAAAAGCTTTGGTGGAGAAGGCAAATATCGTTTGAGGACAACGATACTATTTTCGTGATCAAGTCTTATTCGTATTTCCATTGCTTTAACTTTTTCAACAGAATTGTCAACAAAGTATAAATTCTAATACAAAGACCATATTTACAGGTTTCAAGTGATTATAATAATTCACTAATTATGCAATTAAAATTTTAGAAGTTGCAAGGTATTGAGTATACCAAACATATCATACAACATAATTAACAACTTATTTTGGAATCCTAAAATGAGATTTGTAATATAAGTTGGCAAGTCTAATACTTATTAGAAAGAAAGCCATGCAAACTAAATACATTGAACCGTGATCACGGATAGAGCCAAGACTTTGTACATAAAAGAGTATTTGGATTCTCCCCTAAACATAATTTTCATTTCAAGAAAAAATGTTTCTATGACTAATTATGCATTTGTAAATGCAACATCATATTGACTTTGTATTTTATCTGTATCTATCTCTAGTTGTGATGTGAGCTTAAAGTACAGATTTAATAAAATACAGTCGTTGCTGATCTTTTTCTATCTTTATCTGCAGCCTATTTAGATTCTCAAATTGTTTGATATACTAATAAAAAAAAATTCAAAAAGAAACTCAAGGGTTTGATAATTTTAAGGTTTTTCACTAAAACGAAGAATTAGATTTCATTGTTTGACGACTTTACTTTAATGGAATGAAATGCTATCCAGAGTTTCTCAATAGCACATCAACATCATAGGGAACAAATACTAAGGTTTACGTAGAATAGCGAGTTTTTAGATAATTCTTGTGTTAATTTAGTTTCACGCTGCATCAAACCAAAAGTGTTCGATACAAAATGGCGTCCCCTACTAGCATTTCATAAATTTTACTTAACAAAATACTAAAAACCAATTAATTGAAGGCATGTTTAAATAAATAAATTTGCAATTTCTAATAGTTTAAATTTTTAGATCAAAATCTCACTACCACCTATTTATAAAGTTAAATTTGCACGCTTTTGTAGAAACATAATTTATAGTGTTGAATACACATTTTAATTAATTGNGTCCACAACCCACAAATTTACTCAGACTACTAAAACGATTGAGTCGATTCCAAATATTTTATTAAGATGATTTTTTATATCCATTTTTTTTTTTTTTGACAAAAATACATTTTTAGGATAGTGATTTGATGGAGAATGTATAGTTAAAAAATAAAAAAAATTGAGTTTGCGCGTAATATTATTTTATTGAAAAATGTGTGGTAGAAAATAAGAGAGAGAGAGAAATGTATTTTGAAAATAATGAGAACCAAACAAGATCTTAATCTATTAAATATGATAATTCAACTATATCAAATCTTAAATACCGCAGAGAACCCTGTAAACATATAACTAATCTCATCTTTCAGTGCATAAATAAATTAATGTGCCAACTCATTGGTGCTTAGGATAAGATGAGCACCGGTGCGCAATAGATCATTTCTGTACACACACACACACACACACACACAAACATGTTTTCTTGTGAAACAACATACCTTTTCAATATGGTTTGGAACCATTTCGTGTGGGAATGATTGAACGCTATAAATATTATACATTTTTTCACTTGTTCATTTTGAAGAATCACTTGAAGCTTTTGGTGTTCTTCATTTTAGACTTGAATCCTACAAAGAATTAGATTTCATTGTTTGACGACTTTACTTTAATGGAATGAAATGCTATCCAGAGTTTCTCAATAGCACATCAACATCATAGGCAACAAATACTAAGGTTTACGTAGAATAGCGAGTTTTTAGATAATTCTTGTGTTAATTTAGTTTCACGCTACATCAAACCAAAAGTGTTCGATACAAAATGGCGTCCCCTACTAACATTTCATAAATTTTACTTAACAAAATACTAAAAACCAATTAATTGAAGGCATGTTTAAATAAATAAATTTGCAATTTCTAATAGTTTAAATTTTTACATCAAAATCTCACTACCACCTATTTATAAAGTTAAATTTGCACGCTTTTGCAGACACATAATTTATAGCGTTGAATACACATTTTAATTAATTGTTTTAATTTTAAATGGGAATTTGTGATATTTTCATAACTGCCTGTTTGAGACTCTTTTTTTTTTTTTTTTGACGAAAATACATTTTTAGGATAGTGATTTGATGGAGAATGTGTAGTTAAAAAATAAAAAAAAGTTTTGAGTTTACGCGTAATATTATTTTATTAAAAAATGTGTGGTTGAAAATAAGAGAGAGAGAGAGAGAAATGTATTTTGAAAATAATGAGAACTAAACAAGATCGTAATCTATTAAATATGATAATTCAACAATTTCAAATCTTAAATACCACAGAGAACCCTGTAAACATATAACTAATCTCTTCTTTCAGTGCATATATATATATATATTGTGATTTCAGCAAAATTTAAAGTCAGTGTGATTATTAATACTTTGAGCTATACATCAAACTCGAAAATTAAATTCCACCCTCGCACTCTAAATATACCATCTACAGAAAGGTGCAACGGCCACCAGCACCAACTAGACAAGAAAATCTTAATTTAACCAACAAAACAGCGCTTTATCAAAAGATTTAATGATGTTGGAGCCTGATCACATAAGGTTAAATTCATACGTGTGATAAATGTTAACAAAATAATCTTAGTACCAATTTGACTCATATAAGACGTTAAATATTCGTAATCTTTAAAGAAGAAAATTGTCATTCGGCCTCCATGTCCACTAACTGTCACAACTCACAATCTTAGTTCATTTCCTGGTCCATTTTGTCCTGAAGCACTTTTGATACATATTCAGCTGAATCAGATTAGTTAAACAAATAAGTGAAAACCTGTAAGGGTGGGTAGGAAGGCAATAAAATAGACCAAAAGGTCGCCCATTTGTGTATGGGAAAGAGCAAGTTCTTTAAGAGAAAAGAGTCAAATGAACTTGACACTTTTCAGTATTCAAATCCTTATATTTCCATTTGGGATGTGGGCCATGTGGCGATTCGAATCTAGAGGAGGATTAATACAATTTTTTTAATTTTTTTTTTGTAATTGGGAGTTTATATATTTCAGAGCTATCTTTAATTGAAATAGATTAGATGACTGGAATTTTCAGTAGAACGACGTGTTGTGGGCACGTAAGATTATTTGCAGTCACTCACTATCATAGTCGTTCTACATGACATACATGTGATGGTTAGTGATTTCATGCATTAATGCGATAGTTTTTTATTGTCTCATATATCAAGTCATTAATCGTTACCTATATGCATAAGACGATTATGGTAGTGAGGGACTGCAAATAGTATTATTCATCTTTTAAGGATATTAAGCAAGTTCTTCATAGTCTAGATAAAGACAAGAACATGTACAACATAAATTTGAGTTTCATGTCATCCAAAATAAAACAATCCAATTATCAAAATATAGTGTAGTGTAATTGAAATTCCACAATATAAAACATTTTAAGGCAAATATAATTCTCATAATAAATCATTAGAATATTCTGTATTGTGTATAAGAAAAAGTACACGGAGTTGGATTAGGGGAAAAAATAGTTTGTCCAAAATGTTTTAGAGATATGCATAGTAATATGTATTTTTAGACCCCTTAGAATTTAATTACCGAGAAATAATATATGCCGTATTCCTATAATAATATATACTCCACCATCAAATGATCTCCACTAACATCAAAGTTTGTATATTTACTAAACTCGGAAATTTTATATTGTTGTTGATCTGAAGTTCACATCGAATAAATTGAGGGTTCCCCTTGACTTGAACTTATCTGTGGAAGTGTCTGCCCTATCGATAGAGATTGAAATCGAATAATAGAAGACGTCATGTGAAAACATGATCATAACAAAGGAAGTGTTCCCACTTGAAAGCAGTACCGTCCAAACCTACAAATAAAGAGGATGACATGATAGCTTAGGACACATGTCTAAGACTTAAGTGCAATCATGACCCCGTTGCTATCGAACTCCCCAACCAATCAAATTCTTTCAAACGGATGGTGACAAGCATCTCTAGGCTGGAACACTATAGCTTGAAATAACTAGGAAGCAATCTTGAATCCACCAACTTATATAAAGGGACGAAGGGTGAATGAGAGGGAAGATCCAAACTAAAAATTTCTCCGTATAATTATCAAATTCGAACATTATAGCACTTTTATTTAGTTCAAATCTATAGAAGTTGATAAAAAGTTATCACATCGCCCTCTATTATCAACTAATGTAAATTATCTCTTATTTCCATCTTCATTAATAGATAATATTACAATGCTGATATGACAACTATTAAGTTTATAGCTGCTGTTAAGCCTATCATTAAAAAAACAGCAACTCGTAGTCTGGCCTTTGCATATTTTCATTTTATATCTTAAAGCAATCTTAATTTGTTCTCGGATCTTTTAATTTTGTTGTTTTCATGGGTCGGACTTGAAATAGTCCAAGGTACACTCAAGAGTTATGACTAGACAACAACTCGGTGTTCGATTTAGTGGGTTTTGGATTTAAATATCATAATATACCGAACATAAAACTGCTTAATGAAGACAAATTAATTGCAATTAA